TTTCGTCACTCGTTCCTTCCTTTTATATCTGTTCATTTTTGCTCACAAACCTCCTAGCAATACCTTAGCAACTAACTTGGATACCAAAGCAGCCACCTAGCAACACCTTAGCAGCCACCTGGGATACCATAGCAACAGCCTAGCAATACCCTAGCAACCACCTTGGATACCATAGCAACTGCCTTGCAACACCTTAGCAACCACTTGGGATATCATAGCTATCAGCTAACAACACAGCAACCACCTAGCAGCACCCTAGCAACCCTGCCTGGATACCATTACAACCTCCTAGCAAAATCCTACCTGTCAACACCCTATTAACCACATAAAATACCACAGCAACTGCTTGGTAAATTTCAATCTGGCTTTAGACCAAATCATAGTACAGAGACAGCACTAGTAAAAATTGTAAATGATCTATTATTATTTTCTGACCAAGAAAATGTGTCCTTGTTAGTCCTCCTCGATCTTAGTGCGGCATTTGACACAACAGACCACGTTATCTTACTAGTTAGACTAGAAAACCTTGTAGGGGTAACAAGAATAGCTCTTTCCTGGTTCACGTCCTACCTCACTGATTGCTATCAGTTTGTTAATATAAATGGTGAATCATCTGCCCTCGCAAAAGTAAAGTATGGTGTTCCACAAGGCTCTGTTTTAGGACCTGTATTATTCACATTATATATGCTACCACTGGGCACCATTATCAGTAAACACGGCATAAATTTCCACTGCTATGCCGATGACACTCAGTTATATTTAGCAAGCGACCCAGATGATAAAATGAAACTGTATAAAAGACATAAAGGACTGGATGTCGAGTAACTTTCTCCTTCTTAACTCCGATAAAACAGAGGTTCTACTTCTTGGTCCAAAAGCAGCTAGAAACTGTCTACTTTAACACTTAAACTTAACAATTTCTCAGTTGCATCAAGCTCATCTGTAAAAAGCCTTGGTGTCATTATAGACCCTGATCTGTCTTTCGACGCACATATAACTAATATTACTAGAACAGCCTTCCTGCATCTCCGCAATATTGCTAAATTGAGAAATGCATTGTCTCTACAGGATGCAGAAAAGTTAGTTCATGCATTTATTACCTCAAGGCTAGATTACTGTAATGCCCTGCTGGCTGGATGTCCCAGCAAAAGCCTTAACAAGCTTCAGCTAGTCCAGAACGCTGCAGCTAGAGTTCTTACTAGAACCAGAAAGTTTGACCATATCAGCCCAGTTTTATCAACCTTACACTAGTTACCAGTTAAATTTCGCATCGATTATAAAATTCTCTTACTGACTTACAAAGCACTAAACAGACTCGCCCCTCAGTACCTGAGTGAACTTCTCTCTCACTATGAACCATCATGCCTACTTAGATCACAAGGTGATCAAAGCCCCTCAGCTTTGGAATAATCTTCCTGTTAATGTTCGGGACTCAGACACAGCCTCAGTGTTTAAGTCTAAGCTAAAAACTTACTTGTATAGTCAAGCCTTTGGTAATTAGTTTTCCCTGTCAGTTCTATACCTGCCAGAGTCTCTGCTGCTCTGCTAACACTGTAATTTATGATCGGTCACCCATTACAGAACTGACTCTCTGTTTGTTTTTCCTTTCTTTTCTTTGCCGAGTTGAACAGCTGCCCATCCTTTGCGCCTGATGCTGCTGCCTCTTCTGCCTTGATCGGGTGCCACTGCTCGCTGTGCAAACCTCACCCTCACAACCTGACCCCACTGATGCTGCTGCTGCTGCTGCTGCAGCTGCAGCTGCATGAACTAAACGAATCAAATTAATCATTTGCTCCACCTGTTTTCCCTGTTTTTGTACTATAATACTTTATACTAACAATGTTTTACTATCCGGTGTCGACCAGAGGAGGATGGGTTCCCCTTCTGAGTCTTGGTTCTTCTCAAGGTTTCTTCCTGTTTCTCTTAGGGAGTTTTTCCTTGCCACTGTTGCCTCTGGCTTGCTCATGGGGGCTTGGACCCAGATTTCTTTCTGTAATGCTGATTTCCTTGTAAAGCTGCTTTGTGACAACACCTGTTGTAAAAAGCGCTATATAAATAAACTTTGCTTGCTTGCTTGGTAACCCCTTAGCAACAATTCATAAATGGCTTAAGCTGTGCAGTCGCTCTGCTTTTTATTCAGAAAATGCACTATTCTAGTGTTATTAATGAAAGCTTTTTCTTATTTTTCTTAGTCTGCTAACTATCCCTGCAGTTTTTAAGATATCAACACTGTTCCAACACAGGAAAGTTCAGTCTGATCAAGAATGGTGTGCTTGTGTACAGGTTTTTTATTCGATGTTCTGGTTTTGTACAATCTTGGTTGAATTAAATTTTGTTCCCATTTGAAAGAATGGGGTGAAAAATTGTATGACAATCCACTGTACTTCTGCTCAACCGAAAGACATGGTTTCGCATAGACTACCTCAACGCAGGTGTGTACAAATTTAATGTTGTACTGACCCTTACTTATCTCTGTCATTTTTTTTGCTCGTTTCTCCTATAGATTCCCATTGATTTTTGCCCCCAAAAAGCTCAAATATTTCTGTGCCCAACAGCCAGCAAACTGCATGTACTCACTCAGGGCACGTCATCTCCAAGCTCTATTCCACAGCGATCCTGACCTGCACACCTCTGTGGGTCATTTTTTCATCCCTGGTTCCTCCCATAGACTGCCATTCACTTTAAACAGTGAATACTTTTAATACCTAGCAACCACTTGCCAGCTCCCTAACGACCTTTCAGTACACACCCTCTACACCATGGCAACTTTCCATCAACATCTTAGTAATCAACCTTTATACTATAGCAACCGCCTATCAACACCTTAGCAACTGCGCAATCACTCTTCTAGCTCTTCTTCTTTTTCCTACTCTTCTTCTTCTTCTTCTTCATTAATTTTCGCCCCAATAAAGCCTAAACTTTTTTTCCCGACAGCCACCAAAGTACAAGTAGTCACTCAGGGCAGGTCCCCAAGCTCTATTCCACAGCCATTCTGACCCACACTGTGTGTCATTTTTTCATCTCACGTTCCTCTCTTAGACAGCAACCACCTAGGATACCATAGCAACCACCTTGCAACACCTTAGCAACCACATTGCATACCACAGCAACCTCATAGCAACAGCTTAGCAACCACCTGGAATTTCACAGCTACTACCTATCAACACCCTAGCAACCACATAAAATACCATAGCAACTGCCTTGCAACAGCTTAACATCTATTCTCAAATCACTTCACCTGCGCAATCATTCTGCAATTTCTTCAATTATTATTATTATTATTAGTGACAACACTATTGATAACCGATTTATATTCTTCTTTTTCTTTTCCTGTTTTTCTTATTTTTCTGCCCAATTATTGTCCACTAACTTGTCCCGCAATCTTTAAGATATTGACACTTTTTTCAAGTTCGGTTGTCTGATTGGGAATGGTGTGCTTGTATACATCTTTTTGATGCACTGTAAAATTCGTAAAATCTTCATTAAGTTATTAATTTTTTCCCATAGGAATGAATGGGTAAAAAATTGTATGTTTGACCAAAATACTCCTTTTTCGCATATACTATCTCAGGACAGACCCCCTTAGCATTCTCCTGGGATGCCATACCAAACACCTAGCAACACCATAACCACCACCTGGGATACCATAGCAACTGCCTGGAAACACCCTAGCAATCGTTCTCAAATTGCTTAAGCTGCACAAACACTTTGCAATGTTTTTTTTTTTTTTAGAGTAGAAATGCACTACTCTAGTATTACTTTTGTTTTTTTTTTTTATCTTATTTATCTGCCGGATTTTTATTTGCTAACTTGTCCCATAGTTTTGTCAGATATTAACACCGTTCCAACTTTGGAATTTTGGGTCTGATTGGAAATGGTGTGCTTCTATACAGCTTGAACTGTTCTCCTACAGTCTGGAGTGTAAAAATGGCATGCCTGTTTACCGTACTTCTGCTCAGCCAAAAGACACCCTTTTGCATACACCATCTTAGGGCAATTCAATGTTACTCCGACCCACACTCATCCTTTTGTCCTTTTTTACTCTTCCCTTGTTCCTCCCATAGAGTCCCATTCATTTTTGCCCCTACACAAGCTCTATTAATTCATTGCCTGACAGCTACCAAACTGCATGTACTCACTCAGGGCAGGTCCCCAAGCTCTAATTCACAGCCATACAGACTCAGACTTCACTATGTGTCCTTTTTTATCCTTTTTTCCTCCCATAGTCTACCATTTATTTTAAACAACACTTAGCAACCACTTTGCTACCCCCTAACAACCACTGAGTATACACCCCTCGTGCCATATCAACTGCCTAGAAACACAGCCAAGTAACAATCTTTAGTTGTGCAATCATCTGCATTTTCTTCAGGAAATGCACTGTTCTAGTTGTATTATGTTCTATTTATTGTTGGGCCTTGAGCCAAGTTATTAATGTTGTGTAGGACTGTTTTGTAGTTGGTATGGTACAAACATCTTGTCTAATTACACTATATGTAGTCTATGATTTGAAACAAATATTCTATTATGGCAGAGCTTTGTATTTTTCTCTTGCCCTAAATTAAAGTATCATGTTCATGCTTATAAGATTTTTATGAAGGATTATGGCACTGTCGTGACATTGTGATGACTAGCTGATGTATGTTTTCTCTGGACCTAAGTAAGGTGAAAATTACATTTTTATGCTGTGAATGTCATTTCACTCCAGAAAGTGCTGTGACACAAATGAAGTGTTACTAAACATTTTCCATATTTTGTGATTATTTGGTAATTATGACCTAAAAATAGATACATTTGCAGCCTCATCTGTGATTATTTCAGAATTATCTGCCCTATTATTATTTATAAGTAATTAGATACTAAAATTGAATAACAGACAGGCCCATTTGTGCTTCTAACTACATGTACATGCACAATCAGCATTTGCGCATTCAGAGAGTGAAAAGGTAATCTACAGAACATAGTTAAATATGGCCAAGTATTAGCCAGGAAAGTCTTACCTTCTACTAGAGTTTCATTGAAGCAGTCTCCTGAGGGATTGCTCCAGGTTTTCACACAATGCCCGCAGGGTTTGTAGTGCCACTCACAGCTTCCAGGTACATTGTAGTAGTCGCAGAACAAAGCTGCAGAAACAGTTTAAGTGAGTTAGTGGCTTGTCAAGTCAAGGGCAATGACAAGGTGTTATACTTGCATGACAGGGGTTAGTACAGCTACACTATCTCATATCCCCAATACTCTCTTTATTCCATTTAGAGTCAATGTAAAAATACATTAATATATACAACCCCATTTCCCAAAAATTTTGGGATGCTGTGCAGAATGTAAATAAAAATAGAATGCAATGATGTGCAAACCATATTTTTAAAGGAAAACACTACGAAGACAACACATCAAATGTGGAAACTGGGAAATTGTATTGTTTTTTGAAAAATATATGCACATTTTGAATTTAATGCCAACAACACGTTCCAAAAAAGGGACAGGGGTGTGTTTACCACTGTGCGTCATCACCCCTTCTTTTAATAACACTCTGTAAGCATTTGGGAACTGAGGAGACACTGCTGTAGGTTTGAAAGTGAAATGTTTTCTCATTCTTGTTTGATACAGGATTTCAGCTGCTCAACAGTTCAAGGTCTCCTGTCATATTTTTCATTTCATAATGCACCAAATGTTTTCAGTGGTGACAGGTCTGGACTGCAGGCAGGCCAGTTATCACCCAGACTCTTTTAATATGGAACAATGCTGCTATAATACATGGAGAATGTGGTTTGCCATTGTCTAAGGCCTACCCTGAAAAAGACGTCATCTGGATGGCAGCATATGTTGCCAAAACATGTATATATTGTTCGGCATTAATGGTGCCTTCACAGATGTGCACATCACCCATGCCATGTGCACTAACGCACCCCTATACCATCATGAATACTGGCTTTTGAATGGTGCACTGATAACAAGCTGAGTGGTCTTAAGCCTGGAGGAGTTAGCGTCCATAATTTCTAAAAAGAATTTCAAATGTTGATTCATCGGACCACAGGATACTTTTCCACTTCCCCTCAGTCCATTTTAAATGAATTCAGGCCCAGAGATGGTGGCAGTATTTCTGGAACTTGTTTATATATATGGTTTTTTCTTTGCATTTTAGAGTTTTAACTTGCATCTGTAGATGCAGCGTCAAACTGTGTTTTTCAGACAGTGGTTTTCAGAAGTGTTCCTGGGCCCATGCAGTGATTTCCACTACAGAATCATGTCTGTTTTTAATGCAGTGCCGTCTGAGGGCCCAAAGATCATGGCAAGCAAATACTGGTTTTTGGCCTTGTACATTACATACAGAGATTTCTCCAGATTCTCTGAATCCTTTAATGATATTATGTACAGTGGATGAAGAAAAGCAAAAGTTGTTTGCTATTTTACATTGAGAAACTTTGTTCTTGAATTATTGCACTATTTAATCGTGCAGTCTTTCACAGAGTGGTGAACCCCTCCTCATCTTCTGAAAGACTCTCTGGTATGCTTTTTTATACACAATCATGTTACTGACCTGTTGCCAATTAACCACCAGGTGTTTTTTTTAGCATTACACAACTTTAACCAAACTTTTGTTGCCCCCGTCCCAACTTTTTTGGAATGTGTTGTTGGCATCAAATTCAAAATGGGCATATATTTTTCAAAATACAATAAAATTTCCCAGTTTTAACATTTTATATGTTGTCTTTGTACTATTCTCAATGTAATATAGGATTTAAATGATTTGCACATCATTGCATTTTTTTATTTACATTTTACACAGCGTCCCAACTTTTTTGGAAATTAGGTTGTACTTTTTGTAAAACAGCTAACTTAAGCTAAATCACTTAAATACATTTGTGGGGATTACTGTTTTCAGCTGATCCAGATGATTAATTAAAGATTAATTACTGATTAAACTGTACTATACTCGTAGTTAATAATGGTTAATAACAACTGTGCTTGTGAATTACATCAATAAAAGCATTTCCCTTGACCCTTAAGAAGAGATGCTTCTATTGATTTCTTTATTGAGACTCACGGCAGATGGTTGGGGTCCTCCACGATATGCAGGCTCCCTTCTCGTTGCATGCTGCAGCATACACTGCTACAGCCGTGCAGAAACACTCACAGTCTCCACCAGTGTCACATGCACACGTGTCTTGCACACATATATCGTAATATTGATCTGGATCCACCTGAGAGGAGAAACAGAATAAAACAGAATCATAGTAGAACAGCTCACAGGATATGAGCAATTTGTGTTCATGGAAATTCACTGAGACAAATCGCATCTATAAAAGTGTATGATTTTCAAGGGTAAAAACCCTGAGAAATACAAAATTTGCAGCCTATACAAATGTTTTCTAACATAATAGGCCCTATATCGCACTGCAAATGCAAACTCAGGCCAATGCGATACAGATTTCATTGCATTATGATGTGATTGCCTGAGTTATGTGGGAGCTTTTCGACACAACTGGAAGGACAGAAGAGTTAAAGTAGCAGTACACAAAAGTAAAATCAAATACTGTTATTGTTGGAGGCTTTTTTTTTGTAATTTGCTGTTAAACATGTTTTCTCCTTTGTTTTATCACTGAAAAATCAATAACTCATGTTTAATCACCGTTTTTAACTAGAAATAAAATAAACAACTACTTTTGTACATTTTTTCAGCATCTCCCTGAAAGGATACTCACTAAGGAGTGACATGACTTAAAGACATCACTCTTGATAATGCTGCATTGTTTGATGGCCCAGGCCTGGCGGTGTGGTCTCATATTACAGGGGCTGCTGATAATGCTGGCTTTGGGGCATGTATAAGAAACTCTCCAGCTGTTTCCAAATTCAAGTGGCTCCACCACTTCCTCCCCACCACGAGTCACAAAGTCATTTTTCCCATTGTCATCATAGTTACCACACAGGCCGCATACTTTTCTCTGTTATGGGGAAGAGTGGGATGGGTCAATAATACAAATAAATGACCAAAAAATGTACAAATTCATAAATTCCAGAAAAATTATATCCTGGCATGTGAAATCATTTTAAACCTAGACAGTGTTGGGGAGTATACTTTCAAAAAGTAGTGATGGCTGAATACTGAATATACTGTTCTGGATGTATTCAGTAATGTCTTCCATTACGATCTATAAAAAGTAACTTATTCAGAATACATTTAGAATGCAGTTAGAATGCATATTGACTAGTTAATAAACTATTTTAAAAGAAGGCACATGTTAATTTAATTTAGTGGGTAAGTTATCTAAAAGTGTTCTAAAAATGTAAAAGGAGGCTGTATTATGATTACTGCCTTTACAAAATGTAACTTGGATTGAATACAGATACTTAATTTCTGTCTCCTGAAAATGTATTCCCATTGCATCCCAACCATGAATCTAGACAATATATCTTTCTCATATTTAATATTATATTTCAGCTAATATATTTGAAAAAAATGGGTCAGTATGTGAAATGCAAATAAAAACAAAGAGCAAGGGCTCCCGAGTGGCGCAACCGTCTAAGCGTTGGCCCTATCATCAGGAGATCGCGAGTTCGATCCCTGGTGATGCTACAGCCATCCGTAGCCGGGAGTCCGAGAGAGCACAATTCATTTTATTCTTCAGCTTTTTTTTAATTACTTTAATGTTATTGAAGCCTTTGCTATTTTAATCTTTAAGCTGTGTTTAAGATCATTCCATTGCTATCATTTTCAGCAGTGTAATGCAGGAAAAAAGTCATGGATTTGGAATGTTTTTTACTTACCTTAAACAAAGGATCGAGTGTAATCTTTAGACTTGTCTTCTTGTCCCAGTGCAGAACCAGACCATTACTGGCCTCAATGACAATGTAAATCCCCACAGTGTAGATTTTGTGAGCGATTTCTGTGCCATTATTATCACTGAAAACTTTAATTTTCTCCTCTGACAGTATGAACTCTTTGTTCTACAAACATTGAAAAAGGAAGAAACGAAAATATTTATCAACTTTTCATGGTCAACAATTCAAAAGTCTTAAATTGACTAGTGTTAATGATAATACTGAAGTGCAATGATACGAAGAGGAAGCTGTGTGATAACCTCACCCCTAGAATGAGTTTGACAGATCTGGAGCAGGTGGTCCCAGTTGTGCCACAGAGGATATTTTCTGTGATGATACGAAATGAACCACTAAGACTGTTGCCACAGTAATCCTGCAAAGAGCAGATGCTGTTAGATTTCATATATTAGTATGGTAACTGTTAAGAAATTAATCAGTCAAAGTGAAGTTTTCTGCATTTATCATTTTTCAGGTTATCATACAAAGTGATATCATACATATTATTTAGGCAAGGCAGTGGCTCAACATAACAAGTTAACCTGCTATGACAGATTGAGTTGAAGGGAGTAAGAAAAACAAAATCAAGAAACAGCCACATGACTATGTTTTATTGGAGGATCTTTTTGTTATCATACATGATTTTCTGCATTGCTTCATCGAGCAGTAATGTACCTTCAAAGCCATTTCCTGTCTGTCAGTACAAAAGGTGCCGGACGCTCTTCCAAAATAGTCTATACAAACTTATTTTTGAGAAATTGTTTTTGTGAAAAATCCAAAGATGCTGAAATTGCCTTGTGACTATTTCAATTTTAGTTTTTTTTAATTATATAAAGAGTCTGTTTATGTATTTTGCTACAAGGTAGGGTTTGAAAAATATGAAAATGGAGAGATGCAAGAGCATATCATGACATTATCATTGTATAACATACCTGGGCCACCATGTATTCACAGACTCCACTGAAAGAATATCTCATACTATCAAAGGTCATGTAATGACCTTCACCATAGATGGTACAAGTGCTGGGACACTTTTTGCTTGTGCAGTGAAACTTTCTGTTTCTGCAAGTGCTGAAAAATCCATAACATTTTCTGGTTAAAGCAGTGCAAGACTTCATAATATAAGCATAAATAGTTTGAGAGTTAATAATCAGCTGACAAATGCATTGGTAAAAAGCCTGTGTGCTTATAATGCATGTTACAGTATACATACAACATACAACATACATGCATACAACATCAGCACCAACAGCACATAAATGGCACCACGTTAGCTTTGCTCACCATGTGTTGCAGTCTCCTTTAACAGTTTGTCCAGGCTGGTAGAAGACTCCATTGTGAAAACATGTACAGTTCTCTTCTTTTACACATCCTCCTTGTCCATCAGCCAGTAGACCATTTGGACACACACACCCTGATGTACACTGTGTGCTCATCTGAGACCCACAACATACAAGGAAAGATTCAGAAAATGTATCATTTACTGTAACTATAGATACTCATTATTGTTCTCTGTATGGAAATGAAGTAAAAAAAATTAAATCTAAATATATAATTAAGGAATCCTCTATTTTGCACCATATGAATACAAAAATATCATTTTACATCAACTCCTGGATGGGAGTTTCTCTGAACAAAAAATTGAAGTTTTGTTTTATGTCTTATTACATTAGTTGTGTCTCTTAGGCTTGGTTTCTAATCTCTTCTGTACAGTTGCTGACAGGCACAAATACACAGAGAGGAAATGGTAAATATATTGACACAGAAGCTATTTAAGGACTGTCTTCTTCATGTGCTGCAGATGTGTATGGGACAGACACACAGAGATAAATTAAGACTGGCACCTAGTTGTATAACATTAAATGATCTACTTCTCCATTCACCCTCTCTGACAGACATTCTTATTCACTGATCCATCTGTCTGTCCATTTAACCACCCATCTGTTACTGTACTTACACACTGGTCTGCGTCCAGCGTCTGGCAGCTTTTCTGGCATTCTACACCTTTTGCTCCAGGTCCCGCTTTGGAGCAGTTGAAGTAGTACATGGGAGCTGGGCAGTCTAAACCAGAAAAATAAACATGCAATTCAAATATGTCAATTCCAAGAGACACAATTCCATTAATCAAATTGTACAATTAATTAATGCTCACCAATTTTCAGTTCCCCAAGGCACTCTAACTTGCCGTGAGTGCAAGTGCTGTGAAAAGTTTAAAAATAAAACATTAATCTGATATGTGTGTATTACATATAATTTTACTGCAGTAAAAGGTTTGTACACAATCACAGTCCTAGAGTCTCCCTTGATTCTGTTTTATCCTCTAGGACTATTTTTTTTGCTTTGCCTGCTCCAACACACCTGATTGAACTCATAAAGGTTTCTTACCATGTAGTCCCGTCCTTGTTGATGACCTGAGAGGGGGCCACAACCTGATTGTTGTGGTAACAGGGGCAGCTGGAGGCAGGCACACAGTCACCCTTATCATCGAGGTAGGTACCCTCGGCACAGGCACAGCCATCCACAGGTGTGTGAGACACCTGACAGGTGTAGTCATATCCACTGAGGGAGCGGCAGGTGGTCTCACAACTGCTCAGGCTGTAGTAGTACTCCATATTGCCTGAACAATCTTGGGAGAACTTGGCTGCACAACATGAGACAAAAATGCTGATGCTTAAGTCAGTAATTGGTAGAGTGAAATTCTAAAGTTATGAATGTAACAACAACATAGCCAGATGCCTCCCCACTGTAAGATTTATTTTGTCAATTTGAAATAGGAATAAGATAATACATATATACAAAATCATCATTTATATGGTACTTTCTGTTGGGAAGTATCTGTCCCAAACTCTACACTTCCACTTGTGAAAAATTTATTTACATTATGTTTTGAATTTTTTACAATGTTGTTTTTACAAAAGATTGTTTTGATTTCTTTTAAAATTAAAGAGATTTATCATGAGTTAAATTTTTAAATTAAAAAAAAAAAAATAAAAATGCTGTTATGTCGTTATTTTTGAGTTTTAGTCCATAGGCAGAGTATTTTAACCACACCCCTGTATTTTAGAGCAGGAAATGAGACTACCTCTTTGTCCATTATGGCCACATTGTGAGCAGTTAGTGTCACAAAGTCTGAAAATCAGTGTGTAACCTTCAGAACTATAACAAGTAGTAGTGCTACCCAAACACAGTTTCTGCAATTAAGTACACTTTTTTGTGTTTTTGTGAAAAATATTATGATTTATGTTTGTACAGGTGTTCACACCTGTGCAGTCATGTGCTGGCTAGTTTTTGAGTTCAGCTCAAAATTAGATAAAATTGTCACAACAGAAACAGTAAGTATCACTGTTACTATTGTAAGTAATGTAATGTTTAATCTTTTTTTCTGTTCACATGACCATGAAATGCTTTTAGTAACATTCATTGTACATTTTGGATATATATTATCTGTGCAAGATTCATGGATGTAACAACACAGCCATATTTAAGAACGGACAAATTCCTGCCAGTTGGTCTATCATAAAACATATCTCCTGTGTAACTTCATTCCGTTGACTCAAGCAGGGAATGGTTTTAGAAATGTATTTTGCATCGGTTTTGTGGATGTAAGAATTTCTGCAGACATGCAGGTGCTTTTAAAGGAGTGTATACTGTTGCCAGTACTTGTCAATATTTGGTAATGAAGCCCAAACCTTTAAACTTTCTGTTGATATTAAAAAAAGATACATTATATTGTCCATATATTAGCCAATCAAGATTTTTCAGCTGTATGATTGAATAGTCTGTACACAAAAACAACACCTGGGGTCATACTACAGAAACTTCCTATGCCTGAAATCTTAGCTGCTTAGTCACCATGACAACTTTAGTTAGGACTGAATTTAGGACAGAAGCTATTACAGAACAACAGTTCTTAAGTTCATAATATTATCCTAACTCCAGATAAAAAAAAACAGAATCACAGAAACATCCTAACTAGACTAAATTTCCTTTCTGTAGGAAAGAAAGTTTCTGTAATAGTTTCTGTAATACGGCCTCTTATTCCTACACATTTTCATAGTCAAAGAATAACTCCCTTCAAGTTTTAAATCAGCCACTCTCCCTCAAGTGGTACAGCCCTGGTTGCCAATTGGTCAGTTAATAAGTCTTGTAGAGCAGGCAGAGATTACACACTCACTCAGATCCTGCTGTATGAAGCAGGTGCTAGTGGACAGCTGGTGTTCTAAAGAGTGTATTTTGTATTGCTGAACAATGCAACCATTTTATGTGTGAATCATAACAAGATAGACAACAGCAGCAAAAAAAAAGTGGCGCAGAGAAAGCAAGAATAAAACAGCAACAAAAATATGTAGGGAGGATGAAGGAAGATGAGATATGAGAAATGAAATGCTCCAAAATACAGTTAAAATATATAATTAACAGGCTAATATTAGTCGTTTGTAACATATTAAATGTCATGATTATGTCATATTTTATTTTTGTTAGCTAATCTAATTTCAGCACAGGTTAGCTATCTAAACAGTTTTATTCTAAAAGCCATTCATTTTCTGTTTGTATTTTTATTTCAGGTATTTAGTGCAGCCTCAGTGCAAAGTCAGAATGATGCTCATTACACTGTCTAACTATTGTTCTACCTATCTGAGCTCTGACTAGTTTATTTGAGTGACTACTGTACATTTTAACTGATAGGTCACTGACAGTAACAGGTGCATTTTTTTGCATGGACAAGAATAACCTATAATGGTAAAGTGGTAAACTCACAATTTTATACTTAGTATGGTATAAACGTCTACTGCTAAATTTGGAACTACTGCTGTTCTACTCCCATAAAACTTATCTCAATTGTTCAAAGTAGAATCTCACCACAGGTGGTGTTTCTCCAGCCCTGAAGCAGAACACCTTCAGCAGCACACGTATGGGCGTAGGAAGACACAGCTGCACACATGCATTCTTCGCTTCTGGCACACTTGCATGCATCATAAATGCACCTCTACAGAAAAATGATTTACACTGTTAAAAGCTTTAAAAGAATTTTTGAACTGTAACGTGATAGCTGCTGTTAATTCATACTCACATGATGTAAAACAGCTACTGTAATGAATGATTTAAACTTACATCTTTGTAAGGCACTGGATTGACCTCAACATGACAGGGAGAAAAGACTCCTTCTGGGTCAGTAAGTAGGGAGCACCACTCTTTGGCATACCTCTCTGAAAGTACATAGAATTTCAAACTATACAATTAAAACTTTTCATGTACATTTCATGCTTAAGTTGCTACTTTAAATGTATTGTTCTGCATATTAAGTTTTGATAATTATGGGGTGTACATCTATCTGAAGGTTAAAGTTACCTTTTTCAACACTCATACTACAGGGGTCTTGATGGCAGTTACTAACATCAGGACAGGTGGTCATAACTTTCCATGTGTTGGCAAAAGTCGCGGCTGTGCCCTCTTTCAGTCCTGATTCGGTTTTGAAATCATCTGCCTTGACATCATTAAAATTCCCACACAGACCTAATTGAAAGATTTACATTAGTCATGTGGAGTTCATTATATAAGAAAAGATTTTCATAGTGCTATAGCAGCAGGTGGAAACACACACCGCTCAATGTTCCTTTCTTTTTAGAGCTGGCTACAATGTACACTTGCATGACTGGAACCATTTGGATCACCAGCTGAAGGCTTGCAGTGTGGGCGATGATGTAGAACGTAGAAGGCTTGAAGATTGTCACTTGATCTGATTCAAATATAAGAAAGCAGCACTTCAAACACCATGGCTTTGATTTCCACTAATTAGCAATACAAGTCTAGAAATAGGGTGAATACTTCAGCTTTATCCTCCATACTTTCATGTATAATTTTAATTGTTTATATTAATAATATAATAATTTATATTGCAATAAAATTTATAATAATTTTTATTGCTTTTATTGTCAGCCATTTTTTTCTGTCCCACATTAGCAATAACTTACTATTACTGGTAAACCGAAACAACCACTCAACTCACTTTAAGGGGGCTTATGAGTGAACAATTTTTGTTGTGATCATTATTTATTTATAAGTTTTCAATGATGATAACAACTATCTATAGTGACTACTGGCTAATAGAGTCCCATCGAAAAGAGAGCCAGAAGCTTATTTTTATTTTTTTCTAAAGTATATAATCTCTTGGCTTTTCAGAAACCACAAATCAATTTTGGTTTGATTTTTTTCTCTCACATATTAATCATAAACATAATTTTCTTCCATATTACAAGAAAAATAAATCATTAAAATGTATTAAGTAAAGTAACATCAGCCAGTTTGTATTTGTTGTTTTTCTTTTATGAACAAAGAAATTAAGTGTTCCACTTAATTTGTCAAATCTAGGACTTTATTTTTTTATAAAGGCATCCTGTTAGATCTAGATCAAATCTAGGACTTTGCTTTTTAGCATAAGGGAAATGAGCTTTCTTATATAAAGGCATCTTGTTAGACTAAATTACATGAGGATCATGGTTGAAAGTGCAGGAGAAAGTAATTCATTTTTAAATTACCCACTTTGTCATTATTCACCCATTGCATTGACAGACATCATAACTTCAAAACAATAATTTTTTGTCACAAGATAAAAATAGAAGGTATTTATAATTGAAAACTCACCCATAAAAACTGGAAGATTAGTTGTAATATCATTCACATGTACAGTGCCAGTGGACAAGAAAGTAACCTGTTTACGGAGATGAATATTTAAGAAGTTGTATAATTTGATATGAGTAGTTTATGCGATGATGCAATATATTAAGTCAAAGAGTGTGTGTAGTGTGTGGTCAGACACTAACAAGAAGGCCTAGCTCACAACTGACATTGTAATTCATCCCAAACGTGTTCAGGTGAGTTAAGGTAAGGGCTGTGTGCAGGCCAGTGGATTTCCTCCACATCAAACTCATCAAACCATGTCCTTATGGAGCTCAGGGGCACAGTCATGCTGGAACAGTAACGAGCTGTCCTCAAATTGTTGCCACAAAGTTGGAAGCATACAATTGACAACTGTTGTTGCTCCTAGATGCTTCCATTTAACAATAAAAGCACTTACACTACACAGATCTAGCTGGGCAGAAGTTTCACAAATTCACTTGTGGCAAAGATAGCATCCTATGACAGTATCACATTCAAAGTCACTGAGCTGTTCAGTATGGCCCATTCTACTGCCAATGTTTATCTACGGAGACTGCAAGGCTATGTGCTTGATTTTATACACCTGTAAGCAATGGGTGTGGCTAAAACAACCGAACTCAGTAATTAGGAAGGCTGTCCACATACTTTTGGCCATATAGAATATTTTGTATATTTTGTGCTGATGTCAAATATTTTAATTTATAAACTTTGTGTAAACAGTCCCAAGATGGCTGCCAGTCCAGTCCTTTGTTTGTGTGCCTGCATGTGAGCTTTGTGTTTTACTCATCTTTATTTGTATTTTAAACTGACAATCCTGCCACAGAAAGTGACTTTTATACACAATTGAAGAGGTGCATGTTGGAATTTTTCGGCTTTTTAACAACTTAAAATGGAAACAATAAATATCACTGTTGGACTGCCGACAGCTTGCATTTGAACTAAACAGACTCCATTCTAAGATGAAATAAGTTTCTCTGCCCACCTGTGTGAGCTGACTGGAGGCCTGATTCTGTTACCTGGCCTACCTGTGGGATTATTTCTTATTTACTGGTGCCCTCACAGGGTTGGGTAAGCAAATGTATCGGCTTCTCTGGATACCCTACGGGACTGTGCGTCCCTGTCCAGGCCTGTGTATCGAATACGGTAGACACTACATTGCTGCTCTGTGTGCTTCTCAACAATGCATGATTCTGATGCCAACTACAATTGACTTCTTGGTGCCACACACTGTCGGGTAAGCGATTGAAGTGGCTTCTCTGGATACTCTGAAGTGTATTCCTGCTCAGATCTGTGCAGGTGATATAGTGGATCCTGCATCATTGTTTTGTGTTCTCTTTTAACAACGTACTATCCCAAAGCCAACTTCTTGTTACAACAAAGCCATCTGAGCATCTGTTATTTCATGTTCTGTGGATTCCCTTACAAGTATCATGTTTCTTTTTTTTTTCTATTTATTCCTTAATTTGATCCTTTTTGACCTTCGGAACTTGAATGCGAATGATTATTCATTGCCTAAAGTCCTATTCGGATGGGATTAGTTTTACATAGGGAGATGGGGTAATGTAATGTAACGTTTTTACATGTAATTTTAGTCCCGTCCGAATGCACCATGTCAGTTACAGTCACTGTGCACTCCCACATCAGTAAAGATTGCCATTCCTTTTTAGTTTTTATAAAGTGAGCTGTAGAAATAACTTCAGGTGATATTAATCCCATGCGAATTGACATGTCGGTGAAAACGCTATTATTTCCTGTGGAAAGGGCATTTTTTAAGTATGGAGACACTCGAAGAAGCGAAGTCAGCTTCTTATTTGCCTATTGCTTGTTCGAATTTTCAGTGCAACAGCTACTTTTATGACGCCGGTGGTGCCAAAATGTAACTGCTGCACCTTTTAAGGTGGTACAGGAAAATTCTAACAAGAAACTGGAGAATATGAAGCTGACTTCAGGCTCATTGTTCTTTGTGGCTAAAATCAAGCCGATATGTATATGCATAAGTTACTGTCCTTATGTGTACAAATCAGAAGATGTAAAAATTACAGAAAAAAAGTTTAATTTTGTGCGTGAAGTTGACAGTTTGCTGTGAATTTCGAAGCTTCTTGGAAAGGAGCGACAAAACCCCTCCTGGGCCAAGGCAAGATCCACTAACTCCAATGCTGACTGCACTGACTTAGAGTTTGAAAAATAAATGCAAAATTCAGACTAGGAAATCCAAATCAAAATATTACATACAATCTATTTATTTATTAATTTATTTATTTATCTATCTATTATACATTATTTAAAATCTAAAATTTCAATAATTCCACTAAATTCTGAAAACAGATAAAATCATTGTCATGCTCCAATTCTATTTCAGGCCTCTCTGAATGCATTTTAGTTAACTCAACTGAAATAACAAGTAAAAATGATGGCAATGAGCATTTTATATCAGCGGGGTCCATTTTTAATACTTGTGCAATAGGGTCTCAGAGCTCCAACCCCAAGTGTTGTCAAAAATGATGATTTAATTTATTGAAGGTAAAATGCTGTTCAGCCATTCCTGGCCCTCAAAAAAGAACTGCCCTCTTAGCTACTAAATCAACCAGTTAACCAAATTTAATTAACTATTGGGTTCAGTTTCACTGGCCACACCCAGGCATGATTACTACTAGTCCTGTTGAATCTAAACATCCTGTCTGCAAATGTGAAGCACATGATGTCACATTCTGAAGAGATTTGAATACAGATGCAAAACAAAGTCATTGAAATCTACCACTCTGGAAAGGGTTACAAAGTCATTGCTAAAGCTCTGGGACTCCAGTGAACCACAGTGAGAGCCATAATCCACAAATGGAGAAAAACAGTGGTGAACCTTCCCAGGAGTGGCGGGCAGACCAAAATTTCAGACCAAAAGCGCATCGACGACTCATTCAGGAGGTCACAAAAGAGCCCAGATGAACATCTAAAGAACTGCAGGCCTGACTTGCCTTAGAAAAAGAACACAGAGGTTCATCTCACATTTGCCAGAAAACATCTAGATGACCCCCCTTTTCACATGTGTAATATAGGTTTTGAATAAATAAATTTTCAATAAATAGAATGGTAATTTAAAAGCTGCAATTTGTGTTTACTTGTGTTGTCTTTATCTTGTATCAAAATTAGTTGAATGACCTAAAATATTTATATGTGAGAAATTAGCAAAAATAGAATCAATCGGGTGAGGGGCAAATACTTTTTCACATTTTCACAGTTTCAAAATTAGTTCAGAAATGAACAGAACAGCTTTCTCATTTTTTGTGTACTGGTCATGGAATAACCTTGAGAAAATACTACAGCTTGTACCCCTGAGTGACTGTAAAGCTTTTACTTGCAGTTGCTATTACTGAACTGGGTTTTGTGTTATGTATTACGTACCTGTTGTTCTTTATCTGTTTTGGATATGTTCTGTTGAAATTGTTTCATTTCTGTTCTGTTATGCTAAGTTCCAATAGTTAATTTATATCACTGGTTTCACCCTATTCCCTTAAATAAAACTGCAGACTTATTATTCAGTTAGTACTCTTAAGGCTTATTACACCAGCAGACACTCTGAAACTAATATGAAAAGTACATGGTTATGAGAGTAAGGCAGGGCAAGGACCAGTCAACAGAATTTTTGAAAACCGTTATATTCTTGGAAATGCTTACAGTAGCTGTTGGGATGATGAACTTGACCTCAGTTAGGCATGTTTCAGTTTTCGTCTGACCACACTGCACCAGATTCGCCAATACAGTCACATTATTATCCTGAGGAAAAAAAGAGTATATTTTCAAACATTTTGATACACGAACAACTGCTACTCGTATTACAACTTGCCCACAGGTCATAAAAAGAGCATTTATGTTGCACTAGTGATAACATTACAGAACGTATTTTGAACAGTCACTGGTTTGAAACTTCCTTATATAATAAATGTGTATGAGTTTTGTGACCTTAGAAAGAACGTAGTGGCAGTTTCCATGGAAGGTGTAAGCTTTGCCGTCATATGTGGTGATATGTGACCCTCCCTGCAAAGAGCAAGCGCCAGGGCAGTCCAGGTTCTTACAGCTCCACTGGCCTTTAGAACACACACTGACCACAACAGAGTGAAAGATGAAAACAATGCTTTTTCTTTTCAATCAGTGTGTGTATCTGTGAACATTTATCTATTTATTTACCATGTTTGACAGGTCCTATTGTATGACTGTCCAGACTGGTAAATTTCTCCATTGTGGATGCAGGGACACTGATCAACTGGGATGCAGCCATTTTCCTCAATGTCGTTATACACAGTTCCTATACAGTGAGACATGTAATTGAGCACTATTTTGCAGAATACTAGTTATAGGGGAACAAGATACAGATTAGTTTTCATTTGTTTTTGTTAAAAACAAATCCTAATTAGACTTGCTGATCAGAAGCCTATTCTTTCTTCTTATTGCTGTGTTTCTGTTGATCATAATTTTCTGACATAGCTAATTTACTCTGAATAGCATTTACTATATGTTTGGTTATTTGAAAAATTCTTTTTAAATATATTTCCTATTTTTCTCATTTACTGATCTTTTTCTAAGGGAAAAAATATTAATTTTGATATTGATTTTTGTTTTTGGTTATTTTCTAAGAATAATTCTGGGAATGAGCTTGACAAATGCACTCTTAGCAAAAAGGGTCCTATATAGAACCATCTACAGCACATTCTCCATCAATCTGAAGAATGCTTTCATGATTCAAAGAACCCTTTAAACATGCAAAGGGTTCTTTGAGTGTTCATGGTTCTATATGAGCACCTTCTCTCTAGAACTTTGTAGATGATGAAACTATGTCTAGCATATAGTACAATGTCCTGGTATATTTGTTTGGTTTATTTTACTTTGGTTTGTGAGTGGAGGGTTACCTGATGGACAGAAACAGCCCTCTACACAGTGCTCAGCACAGACCTGGCTCTCCTCTTGGTTAGAACAGGAGTCTTTGCATGGGCTCCCACATTCCTTGTGCTGCATGTTAAATGGACAGTCTTTATCTATACAGGAGAAACACAGGAGATGACAGTAACACTCAAAAAGAAATGAACATTGCAGAAGGTGACATTTATTGAGCTCTGCGTTTTCATCTGCTTTCATTCTCATGATAGATTTCAGTAAAGAATCACCTCACCCCTTACAAAATGTTTTAGTAACAACTGAATAATAGTTTCACAAGTTGAAAATCTTTACTATTTCATTAAGTTTTAGAATAACTCTGAGAATGAGCTGAGAGCTCCAGGTTTGCACATACCAGCAATAACACTTTGAGAATACATTTTAAAGTTTTCCCAAAAAATACAGCCAAAACTGTCCTGTAATGTACATCAGCACTGCTGTCAGCACAGTAAAACTGCAAACGTCCGCATTCTCAACTCCCACCTCACCAGAACTGGGGGCATGTAATCCTGAAGAATACACTGCACCAAGGACACAAGAAGATTTGTCTTTTTAAAAAAGTGCCCATAACATGCTGATGTTTTAGTGAGACCTTTTTAAGTGCACTTTAGTAGTAGTGTATTTCAGATGCACTACTTTACAAAAACAAATCCTTCCCTCGTCACACAAGGTGCAGATGACACTTTCATTTATGTTGATTTTGTTAATTACATACCACACAACTTGTGGGTCCTCCAATTCTGCGGCTTGCCCCCAGCATGCGCACACTGGCGTGAGAACTCAGATAGTGTGTCGCACACACACACAGCCCGGCTGGTACACTGACACATGTCTTTAACACAGGCTTCCACAAACGCATCAGTGGACAGCAGTGTTTGGCAGCTACTGAAGGCTGGATCAGAAAGCAGCTGTTCACATTTGGTTCTCTGTAATGATGATAGGAAACTGATGAAACTGTTGGCTACAAATTTGACCAAATTCAAATGTTTAGGAAAGAAATATTGATAATGAATTTATTGACTTTCTTTGCGAGAGGTTCAAGGTTCATAAGTAGTGGTTGAAAGCACAAGTAATGTAGTTTAAAGAAAATCAACAGAAATGTAAAAGTTGCAAGAGAAAATACACAAGAAAGACTACCTCTGCTGTAGACTTTTGCTGACTGCTTGTGTCTTTGCAGTTACTTATTTAAGATATTTACCTAATGGAATAGTCTAAGTGTATTTAAATTGTAAACAAGGAAAAGCAGGCCCACCATCAACAGAATGAATCCACACACACCAAGGCCTGACAGAAAGTGTGTGGGGAGACTGTAAATTATTTATTGGTACTTAATTTTCAAATTTCAGTACAAACTCAGATTTTTTAAAGACATAAATGTTTGACTTATTTTTTTTATTTTTATCATATTGTGGCTAAAAAAGCATGATGTTCGAACTTTCAGGGCAGTCCAACACAAGCCCACATTATTTTCTTGGCCATCCAATCACTGCTTCACAACCACTGCTATCTGTCATGTAGAGCATTCAGTTCTTTAGCAGTGCACTTATGTCCCATAAATATATTTTGAATGCAAAACACCAGAAGTGATCATAAGATGTCACTGGAAAATTGTAAAAGCAAGATTTGATTCCATGACTAGGCTATGTCAAAATGTTAAATGTCTACTTTCATGCATCGAGTCATCAAAGATAAAATATAAACTAAAATTAAAAACAACAATGAAGAAGCGCTGCAGAGGTCACAATAATGAAGCAAAAAACAGGTTCTCCTGGACCATGGGTACAGCAAGCTCAAAATAACAGTTCCATGCTGGGAGCTGCAAAAACCAAAAAATTCATCTGCATCCATAAAGCTTATGCAAAATAAATCCCAGAACAAAGAAATTCCTCAGCACAGCATCTTAAGAAAAGTATAAAGTATGTTCTGGAATTTATTTTGCACAAGCTTTATGGATGCAGATGGATTTAGATTTTGGCACATCCAGCATGGAATTGTTATTTTGAGTATAAATTAACAAGGTTGCCATGGAAGCATGCTTTAGCTTAGGAGTTTTGACGAATTAGGTTTTTAAGTAAAGAAAATGTTTTATTTGTATTTGTAAGAAAATGTTCATTTATTCATTTTCGTTTTTACTGTTGCTGGTATAAAGACTTTAACCAAGCACAATTTTTTTAGGAGACCAGAATAAAAGAATAAAAGCATTCTTATTTAAAATTTTCAGAAAGGCTGGGTATAAGTTTGAATTATGGTTGGCAACACTCATGTAATGTTTGGCCAGTATTGTATAGGAGGTCCTACGCTTAAAAAAACAAAACTGCTTGTCAATAAAAAGAAAAATAAAATTTTCAGTCGTTGAAATTTCAGGAAAATTCACACCTGAGTCCGACATTCCTTAGTATGGAACGCTGTCTCCTCACATATCTCGTTGGGGGCATCCATCTTCCATTTAAGGCCGTACTGTTGTGATGTCATTCGCTCACCTTTTACAATGGATATGAAATGTGCTTAAAATGTAACTGAGCTGCAATGTAAGACTGAAGATAATGATCTGGAGTACATGATAGTCTTCAAAATTTAGTGATACTAGACTGATATTGTGATTATTTGTAGAAGTAAACATTTTATTGATAGTTACTGAAATGTATACGTGTAGTAGTCTGTTTAAGAGGCAGATGTTACTTTAAAATTATTTTGAATAATAATAGTAACAACCAGGACACAAATATATATTTTACACTTAGTATACCTTTTTAAACAATTATTTAACAGATTTGACTCACCATTTTTAATGAACTCATTGTTCTTGATGCCATTGAAGTCCCCACAAAGTCCACAGGTCTGATTCCTGTACTTTGTGGATATCTCAACCTGATGAGTAGATACAGAATATATTGTGATTATCTGAATAGTAATGAATGGAGAATACTCACTGGATTTCTCAGCACTTAAACAACAATAAAAACATTTGAGTACGTATACTGTACAAGATTGAGTCCTTACAAATGTATGTATTTATGTATGCATGTATGACCATATATTTCATCAGCAGCACATATACGATAGTGAATGAAAGCACTTTTGTTGTTGCCATAATGTCATAATTACATAATATCAGTTAAAAACAATTCATACAAGAAAAAAAAATCAACAAAGTTATACTTACTGACCACAATAGTGTAAAATTTATGTCATTTTCAGACACAGGATTTATTATTCTATTAAATGGACTGTCTATGTCTTTCACAGAATACATGTTTTCTGTTTAACAACAAAAGTATCTCTACTATGTAGTTCACAGAAACAGCAGTGGATCACTTAGCAATGAAAAGTTCCAAAAAGTCTCTAATATCATATTCAAGTAAAGTGAATTAATACAGTGCCTTGTGTGGAAAGATGAGCTCCAGTCTTTCTAAATACAAATGAGCTAAAATGTAGGTGTATTTTCAATGTATTTCAATATAAACTATACAAGAATGATACCTGTAGGCTCAGAGGCTTCTGAATGTAAGAAAATTTAATTCTTCTCTAATAACAAATTGTTTGAAAGATCAAATCAAGCTTCTGTGTCTTGAAAAGACATTCTAATTATAATGTGATATTTTCTTCTTTTTACCCAGTGGTGCTTAAAAATGAAATTTGTCAGAAAAAAGTATTTGTTTTCTATTTGATTGAAATTAATATTTAGAGGCCAGAACAATAAACTACACCATCTGCAACTGATTCTTGAAATAAAGATTTTGATGTGATTCCAGCTACAATTAAAACAAAAAACAGTTTTATCTCTGAGACTCTTGCTGTCACGCTTAACAAGCAAGTTCTGACACTTAGTCAGTAATAAAATAGCTAATCAATAGAGCTTTACTGCTGTTATTCATGTCTCACCTTCAGTGCATCAAATAAAGTGAGAACTGAGCTACCTTAAAAGGGAACCCTGACTGTTGAGACATGTAAGCCTCAATGTGGTGTACATGTCCAGTACTGTTATAATATGTTGTATAAACCAAATAAAATATTTTATTAAAAAAAAATAGACAAAATTAAAATCCTTTTTATTAGTTGTTGTTTTTCTTGCGGCATCAAATTGCTGCTCTCGCTCTCTTGTCCACCAAACAAGGAACAGTGAGCTAAAGATCAAATTCAACAAATATATAATTCAGCCTTGGCTATACCATGATATTGTCCAAAAGAAACGTGTTTCTGAGTTTAGTGTAACCATGTGACATTATCACAGTGCAACTATAGTGACCTACTAGTATGCCTGTTTGTCATGTCTTTATAACAAATAAAACATTTCCATTTGGTTCATACATCACATTTTAATAGTATTGCACATGTACACAATTTTAATGCATGCAAATATTAACAGTTGGAGATCCCTTTAAATTTTTGAGTTCATCGATCTATGATCAATATGTAAACAGAATGTAAGACACAAATTAGTGTCCTGTTAACTAACTATTATAAGTTCAGTAAACACAAAATTTACCACCAGGTTACCTGCTGAAAGATAAAGCAGTGTATGTATAATTGATTTCAGTTAAGATTAAAATTATGATTTTCTTAAGTGTAGGATAAGCATAAGATTTAAATTTAAATAAGTGCTAAACTCTGGAGTTAAGATCAAGTTAAATTCTAATGTAACTTGCAGTTTTAATCTTAATGTGCAGTAAATTGTCATTGTTGGAGTAAAACCTTGTGTCTCCAAAGTGGTAGCTTTACAGGAGAAGGCAAAAACATACTTTACTTTTAATGTAAGTCAAGGTAACCAGACTTCCAAGTAATTTGGACCATTTCTTTTGGTACATTCAAGTTTACACACAATGTAAAAGGCAACTGGCAAGCTTAAATTATATAAAAAAAAGATACGAGGTACAAGGTTTTGTTCAAACAGCAGCGAAATGCAGTATGAAATGAAAAGCTTAGTTCGACCATACCGACAGAGAGTTGCGTTCATCCCAAAAGACAGTCAATCCCAGCATGGAGCTGATCTTAATGAAACTTGTACTTCTCTCAATTGAAATTCCATTCTGATTGCTTGGTATGTTCACACTGTTTGGATACACATTAAGAAAATCTTAGAAACATCACACAATCAAATAAAAAATAAATTTATGAAAATTAGTAGGCAAAATGCAGATAAAAACAGAAATCAATATAAATTCACATTAACCTTTTTGTAAATAAAAACAGTATAAATACAAATTTAATATTTGACTTTCAAACGTTATCATTTTTTATACATATATGCAATACGCTCATTCTGGAACCTGCAACATGTTATGTTGCAGAATTTCATCAAAAGATTCATATTATCTGGAGAAGTAAAGCAGAAGTAAAGGTCAAAACGTTATTATTACATTAGATGATTTTTTTTAAGTTTTAAAACTGTATTAGGCTGCTTTGGGGCTCAGAACTGGTCTCTATCTCTGCATACACTTTCTCTCTTTAAATTTCAACCTGTGTGTGTTTTAACAACTTGCCAACAAAGCAGCCAGCAGTTGTGGAGAGAAGTGATTCAGCTACACTGTATACAAAATACAGTGCATCCCTATTGCAGATTTTAAAATATATAAATAAAAATAGAAAAATGCAAACTTCTCTCTGAATCAAGCACACAAGTTTTTGCAACGCTCAAATTGTTAAAACGTCCAGATCTCTGTATTATTATTATTTTTAGGAATTGCAGCTCTGAAATCAAGGGGTGCTGTAGTCCCCTCAGTACCCCTACTTCCCGTGTCTCTGCTGTCAGTTAATGATCCACAAATACAAGCAAAGACTCTACTAAGCAAATTGGAAGTATCAACAACATCCAGAAACGCTGCCAGCATCTCTGGGCTCAAGCTGATCTGAAATGGACTGATGCACAGTTGAAACATCAAATTGTTTATTGAAATATTGGAGGTGTGTTCTCTGGACCAAAGAAGAAAAGGACCATCCAGACTGTTACCATCGCAGAGTTCAAAAATCAGCATATGTCATGGTATGGGGGTGCATTACTAACTTACTAACTTTTTATGAAACATGTTGGAGGCATAAAATTTAGAATAAGCATATATATTCAAAAAACAATGAAGTTAATTTGTTGTACTTGATCGAAAGGAATCAGATCATTACTGAGTGTTTTTATTTACATATGTCCTACTGTACCAGCTCTTTCGGTATTATATTTGTACTATAAGAAATTGGTATTGTTAACTTGGCGTGAGTAACCTAGTCACTTACAAATTTGAATATTAAGTGAACAGGACCATGATCTGTCTTTCAGCTTATAATGTAGTCTTCAAAGGCAGACTGAAGACACATCTCTTTTTACAGCATTTAAGTGAGCACTAAGTTAAGTACTTACTGAAATGTATTGTTCTGCACTTACTGAAATGCATTGAAATGTATTGTTTATTTAACTCTGTTTCTTTTTCTCTAGGTATCAACATGGGCTTTTGTTTCTAGCAGTATCTGAGCTCGGGACTCGCTTTCTCTCTAACCTATTTGTAACTAGCAAAGATAGTTTCTCTGAGTAGACAACAAAGCACTTTTTGTAAGTCGCTCTGGATAAGAGCATCTGCTAAATGCTGTAAATGTAATTGTAAAATTTTAAAGTAGCCAGGTTATTTTTTTAAGTTAAAAGACCAAATCACATTTTACAGTGCAGCCTAAAATTTAACATTCTACTTGCAAAGTTGCTCACTCTTACTGTCTATTTTTTATCATGCAAGTTCAAAAAAACACTTACATCTTCTGATTCATGGTTATGTTGCCATCAAGAAGCTGGACTACAGCCCCCTGTATCTTTATGGTGAAGGAGCTGATGGTGGGGAGATTGTTGATATACTGCCTCCTCATTTGGACGTTAAAGTCAGTCTTGGTGCTGTCACACAGGGTGGTCAGTATGTGGTTGCAGGTATAAGGCAGTTGGAAGAACTGTCCATCAAATGTACTGAAGTGGAAGTTTCCCCATGTGCTGCACACCTGCATGTTGTGATCCATGTTGATTCCTGATGAAACAGTAACATATTCTCTTAAATGCTGCCTTCAATAACCAATAATGTAATGGAGATTTGGGTTAATATTGTAGGAATAAGTTTACCGTAAAGACTCTCATAGCTATCAGCTATGATTCCTGTTGTCGGCAGAATAGACAGAATAGACACATGGTGAGACACAAAATAAAGAGACAGATATATTGATAAAATAATACTTCTCTATGTCACAATTCAGTAATTCACATTAACAATGTAACCTACCTTAAAATGATCTTAGCTTTGTTATCAAGTCCTAAGCATAATTTGATTAGTTTAGTTAATTGATGTGACATACACTTTAATACATACCTGTTGTTGGGCTCATCTCTGTTGTAGAGATGTACGGAAAAACATTGTAACCTAGTCAAAATAACAACAATAACAACAATAATAAACTTAATTTAAATTAGTTCAATGTGTTTTGCC